TCTATGGAATTTAGTCACTGCAAAAATGATTCCTAAGGCTTCCTTTTCTATTTGCGAGTAACCCCTTTCAGCTGGTAATAGTGTCCTAGGTGCATGGGTGATTGACTTTACCGATCCATCCTTTAACTTGTGTAAAATGCATGCCATGATGCCATAGGAGCTAGCATTACTGGCTACAATGATGTCAAAGTTTGGATCATAATGAGTCAGGAACAGATCTGATGTAAGGACCTTCTTTATTTTCTCAAATGCTTCCTGGCATTTGGTTGTCCATTCCCACTCTTTGTCTTTTCTCAATAATTCATTAAGTGGAGCTCTCAAATTGTGCATTCTTGGTACAAAAACGTTGTAATAATTGGCAAGACCTAAAAAACTTTGAAAAGCCGACACATTTTCTGGTGCTGGCATATTCTTTATTGCCGTTACCCTATCTGGGTCGGAACGTCTTCCGTCTTTGTCAATTATTTGCCCCAAGAACTTAATTCTCTCTAAGAAAAACTCACACTTCCCATCTTTTAATTTGAATCTGTAATCCTGGATTCTCATGAACACCTGCCATACATGCGATTTGTGTTCCTCGATGCTCTTACTTTTCATTAGGACATCATCGAGATAGGCCACTGCAAAATCCAGACCATTTAACATTGTGTCCCTGACCTGTTGAAAAATGGAAGGGGTGACCTTAAACCCGAACAGAAGTCTTTACAATTTGTTTAAACTCTTGTGGGTGTTTATGCAAAGGACCTTTGAGCATTCCTTGTCCATGGGTATTTGTAGATATGCGTCGCTTAAATCAATCTTAGAAAAATATTTTCCTCTGCAATTCCTTAGCAAATATCTCCTCTGGACTTGGAAGAGGATAATGATGATCCTTTAGGGTGCTGTTCAGCCCCGTAGAGAAGTCAGCACATACACAAATTTCTTTGCTCTTTTTTTTTTTTTTTTTTTTTTTTTAATATAAACTGTGGGAGATGCCCATTCACTATATTCAACCTTTGCCAGAACTCCCATTTCCTCAAGTTGATTTAACTCCTGGTCAGTTTGATTTAACGAGGCAAATGGAATGTTGCGTTTTTTTCTTAAAAACTGGGTTTACATCTGGCTTTGACTCAAACTTAGCAGACATTTTGTGCAATTTCCTAGTCCTCCACTGAAAATGTTGGGAAAATTTTTTTAGTTCACCTTTCAACTTTTCTGCTTTGTTAGTCAAATTTTTGACTTTTTGACATAATGAGTTAAGAGGCATATTCCAAAGTTGAAACAATTCTAACCAATCAGTCCCAAACAAATAACCCATATTCTTCATAATATATGCCTTTAGTTTTAAAGTTTTACTTTTGAATGACATGTTTGTTATAAGTTCGCCCATAAACTTCATAGGGTCACCAGTTACACTTTTAGCTCTTCGTTTCATTCTTAACAAAGTCGGTTTACCCAGTTTTTTTCCATGTTTGATAATTAATTATGGATAAGTCTGAACCTGAATGAAGCAGTAGCCTTATATTTTTGTTAAATATTTGCACTTCAATATATTTCCTGATTTTACAACTTTCTGGTTCATCAGACTTGGTAATTTTTACAAAACATTTTTTTTGTCTTGTTCTTAATCCTGCAGTGGGAACTTTTATCGGAATTAAAACATTTTTTATTTTTAAATGGACAATCTCTATACCAATGTAATTGACCACACCTGAAACATGGCCTTGACGGCAAAGTAACTTTATTATTTTTTGGTTGACCCTTTTTAATTTTTCTTTGCCGTATTTTTTTAATGTGAGCCATGCCACTCTGTTCAATGTTTTTCGAATCTGCTCACAAAACATTGGCAATCTTCGGCAACTTGCTATAAAGTAATTTCAGGGTTGTTTACAAGCTTGTTGAGTACCCACAACATATTTTGGTGTCTTTTGCTAAAATCAACCCTGGATGAAAATCAGGCATTTAAAATTATTGGTGCTTAACTCTGTCAATTTGAAGTCATCGCAGTGTTTATTGACTACACTCGCAAAACTAGTATAATCTTCGCCTTCTTTGTGGGTGAGATTCATGTATTTCCAACGCTTGTGGAACTGTGATGTTTTTGGATTGAAGCGTTCTGTTAATGATTGAACTGCCTCTTTAAATTTCAAGTTGCTGTTTTTCTTAGGTAAAATATAGTTAGCAAACTTAGTATATTCTGCTGTGCCTAATTTCCTTTTATGTTCAGCCCAACTTGCACAATCCGTATTGTATAGGGCTTGTAATGTTTAAAGTATGAAGCGAATGTAATTTCTTCTGCAGGTGCAAACATGAAGTTTTCAATAGCACTCCATATTGCATTTTGAGAGAATGTGTTTTCGCTGTCCTCATTTTGGCTTTTGATGGATATATTATACAAGTGCCTTTCTTTGAAGGAGCATTTCTTCCAGTTTCTGTTGTTTAACCTGAAGTGCAATTCCTCAAATTTCTTCCGGTATTCTGCTTGTTCTCATTGGAATTTCTCTTGTCTTTCTTGATATTTCTGTTCCAACAGTAGTTGTTGTTCCTGTTGGTGTTTCATCAACTCTAGCATTGCACTTTTAAATTCATCCATTTTACTGTGGTCGCACATTATATTAAGAAATGAGAGGGGGGGAATTTTTTTTCTCTTTACCCTCTTAAGTAACAATAAGTCTGCTTGACTTGTACAATTCTTTTACTGAAAAATTTAAAAGCAGGAGAGGGGATAAATTTTTACTTTACCCTATTAGTGAAAACAATAGGTTTGTTTGACTTGTACAGTTTTCTTATTAACTTGTTGGAATGGAAAAAATAACAAGGTTCACCAACCTTTTTCCCAACCACTGTATTGGACTTATAGAAATTCTATTGTTTTGAAGAGTTTCTTTTTCTCACTGTCAGTGTTGTAATTAACACTGGATACCCTTTTGTTGTAGAGTTTGATTAGAATTCCTTTCTTCACCACTGTTGTAAACACTGACAAATATATTTTTTTATGATTTAATGTGAAGTTTGTATCTTTGAATCCTTCATCGCCAACATGTCGTGACCAAGTAAATGGTTAAAGAAATAACAAAACAAGTGTTGCAGATATATAATATATTAAACAGTAAATACAACAGAAGGGTATTACATGACTAGTGAGTGTGTGTCAGTTGACCCAGCATTCAATCTGTTCGACTGTTCCCCCAAGGTCTTCTCTCCTACTAATCTTATAGTAGGCAGAGGAGTCCAACATAGACTCTTTAGAGGGAGAACACTACAACATATACAAATGTGGGATGTTAGAAAATGTCAAAAGAAAAGGAAATGGCTAAATATTGATATTCTGGAAACATGTGAAACTAGATAGTTAAATAATTGGGACTTCACTTCAGATTTGCAGGTGGAGATAAAAATGAAAGGGGAGTAGGACTAATATTAGATAATGACAAAGGAAATGTTTTGAGATATTGATAATTGTCAGAGAGTTCTAGGGAAATTGAAAAGGAAGGCATTCAATTTTGCCATTATAGTATAATTTATGTATAAACTTCAACACCAAAGATAATATCAAAAGCCAATGCACATCACAGGAAATTATCATCATGAAATATATAAAAGCTGAAGTCAGAAAGAAACAACATAGTAATGTAGACGACCAGATGGGATTGTAAGAGAGTTGCTGTCAGCCTAGGATGATTTGGTATCAATAAGATTAACAAAATAATAAATCAATTATATAACAGGGAGATCTCTGTAAATCTTTCTATATAGCAATACCAAAGAAGTCAGTTTCAAATGAATATAAATTCCATTGGACAATCAGTTCAATGAACCACATAAGTAATCAATAGGATTCTAAGGAATACAGTCTGTAGCAGAATTAGGCAAGGATAAGAACAGCATAACATTGTTCAAGATATTGGAACAAGAACTGCTATTAGAATGATCATCACAAATACAGATAGCCCTATAGATTATGTAAAAGTGTTTAAGGTAAGACACAAAGACATACTCGAGAAAAAAAAACTCGATTTTCATGGGGGAAGATATTTGAGTAATTCCTTTGCTGGAAACAAACAAGCAACAATAGAGAAGAAATTAAGTGAATGCATGAAAATAAAAAGGAGAAAGACAAGGATGCATTTTCTTATTGGATCTATTCAACTTAGTGAGACAATTCTAAGAGAACTAGAAGACCTACCAGGATTTATTATTGGTGCGTATAATCTTAAGATACACTGTTGATGACAGAGAAAGAACTTGAAGACAATTTAGTAATGGAAACTGTAAGAAGACTGACTGCATGGTCATCAGCAAAAGAGACAGACTACAGTGTGAGCTACATATGAGTGATGTCCATATCAAACAGATACAGAAATTGAACTCTCTGGGTTGTGTAGTAAGACAATGAAAAATATGACACAAAAATCAATGTGCTGAGTTGCTATGTAATATCTAATCTCATATATAGTGATGAATGTTGGACAATCTCCTCACAGATGAAGAAGAGACTTTAAGCCATAAAGATGTAATTCCATCAGTGAATGCTAAGAATACTATGGACAGAACATGTGAGCAATAAGGAAGTTTTAAGGAAAATAGAAACAACAAAAAAATCATACTTAAAATCAAAAAGAGACAGCTGAAATTTCTGGGATGCATAATGAGAAAAGAGGACCTAGAGAATTTAACACTCACAGGACATTGAAAAAAAAATTGTGTATACTGATTCCAAATTTGTACTAAATTTAGTCTAAAATTGTTGTTGTTAACAAAAAACATAAAGGAAGAAATAATAACAAATGACTTCTCTTTAATTTTTTCTTTTCCTTAAAGAATTAGAGACTGGATATACAGTTGAAAACAGTTTCTTTTTGCTAGAAACCTGTGTACACAGCTAATATTTGGTCATACAGACCAAAAGTTCAAAGAAGAAATCAGAAAAGTCTTTAACATTGAAATTCAAATTAATGTTAAAAAACCCACATCTTTAAAAGAAAAAAAGATGATATTTTATTCTTTCCTTTTTATTGCAGGTGGAGGTATAGGATTTTCCACTGGACGTTTCTGGACCCAAGATGGACTTTTAGCGGCCTCAGTTGCTCAGCAAAGAGTTGTAAGATCATTATTATGATCCAAATAAGAATTTAGTTAAATAAATTCAAGTTATTTTTCTTTCTCATCATACTTATTATAAAACCCAGGTTGTGTGTGTGTGTCTGTACGTTTATATATTGGATCGAATTTCCTAGATTTTTCAACCGATTTCAACAAAACTTCACAGGACTATGTAAAATTACCTTGCGGTGGTTCTAACAGTGCTAAAAATTGGAAAAACACAATTGTTTTTGCACAAAATCAATTTGAAAACACGATTAAGAGGCATCGAGAATGAAAGGGGGACAACTCATATCAAGTTATACTTATTATAAAACCCAGGTTGTTTGTGTGTGTGTGTGTGTGTGTGTGTGTGTTCGTTTATATATGGGATCAGATTTCCTACATTTTTCAATCAATTTCAACAAAACTTTTTTGGCAGGTAGTGTTTCTTATTGTCTTGCACACTTTTTTCTTTATTTTTACATCCAGAATGCTTTAAAAATTCCATTTACAAGACAATTGTTTATAATAAAAATTCTATTCAATCGGTAGACTCATAACGATTGAAAACAATGTTTTTGTTTGGGTTTGACCAATTCGTTAAAAAAAAAAAAAAAAAACTAATTAAGACATGCGTGTCCGTCAACCTTAAACAATAATCTTTGTCAATTTTATTTTTCAGTCTTTATGATGGTCGATACTTGATCTATCTCTTACTGTTACATCCCCGGGCAACACCGGGCTCTACTGCTAGTTTTCAATGAACCTTGCTGTGAATAAATAACATGAAAATTTTAGTTCTACCGTTCTATGATTTTCTTTGAAGGTCTTGTAAATAGGTGACAAAAGGATGTACTTGTTTGCTGAGAAAAATTTGGTGCTTATTCATTTGTGTCATTTCAATATAATAAATAAATCATTGGTTGTTAAGAACTCTTTCTACACAAAAATGTGCTCACTTAGCTATCAATGACGCATGTAGTGAAGGCAAAGATTACAAGAATAGTAGTTTCATGCCTTTCTCAAAGGTTTGTGTAGATAAGCTAGAGAAGTGATTATTGCATAGAAGAGCTATATGTCATAAGAGATGAACATGTAAATATGGAGTTTCTAAGTAGGCTTATTTATCTTTGTTGGGATCTTAGAAAATGTATTGATATAGTTTCTTTGTATTACAGCAGTCTCTGTTGACATACCTTGTTGGAAGTTACAATAATATGATGGAGAAAAAAAAACAACTTTGTGAAAATTAATGAATGTAGTTAATTCAAAAAAATTTAAGACTTCAACTGAGTTCTTTCTTTGACAATCTCTGATAGAAAATACTGAAGACTGTTGGAGTGTATAGATTAAAGAAAAGGCTTAAATGCAAGTTACAATAATAACAATATTTATTATTGTTAGAAATGCTAATACAGACATTGTAATCCTCTACATAGATTGTGTAGCATCATCTTCCAGAGGGGTCTGTTTTGGACACAGATAACAGGTATCCATTTCATCAGAACAAGTCTGTAGTTCCATTCAACTGGAGTTGGTCCTTTGGCCTAGGAGCAAGCCCCAGGTCCTTGTGTGAGCATCTGTCATCTATGCTGTTCCATGTGTGTCTCTGAACCTTGATAACAGTCACATAGTTTTTAATGTCTATGTATATACCGACAACCTATTTCGTTCATCCAACAGATATGCCCCTACAAGATACGTACCATATGACAAGTGAAATCTAATACAAATATTTTTACAGGCTTTTGAAAACATACAAAAAAATGTCAGCAAAGAAAATTTACATGATTAGTACAACTTGTGATAAAAGTTTGTAAATTAAAGCTGAAAAACGGAGGAAAATATAATTCAAAACAAAAACCGTCTCTGGGTATGAACATGACGACCAGATTTTGTTACTGTTTGTTTTGGTCTGTTAATAACAACTGCTGGTGGTAACGTCATCTCTGGGCTCACATTGAGCCATGTAGTGTCTAGAAAGGCAGATTTCACCCTATCCAAGGAAATGAGCTACATTAATACACACAGTAAAATATTTCTTATTTTTCTTGAGGATCTTAATGTAACACCGTATCCTCACCCCACTGGACAAGAAGTCAGGCATTTTCTTTAAAGAAATCTCAGGGAATTCCTTTACTATAGGTTCCCGTAATTCTGTCCATTCACTTACGTTGGTTGGCATTAATTTCAAGAAAGATTCTTTTTCTTTGAATTTTTCTTCTGCCTGGTAATGAGGGGGGAAAGTGACATTGAGGAGCCATGGGCACCACACCTCATTGGTAATTCTACAATAAATAATGATGGCCCCACTTTTATAGTTCTAGTTGGCTTTTCTTCACAGACTTCCAATAATTCTAATTCTCTTTGGGTGGCTACTAGTCTCTACCCTTCTTCCATAGTTCTTGCTTACACTCACTTGCTTTTATAACTTTTATCAGATAGGTGTAACCTAACTTTTGTCTCTGTTTTATTGTAATAGTTTTACTGGCTGTATTAGCCAACAGTAGGGCCACCATTTTCATCCTTTCTACTATGGAACTACATAAGGTCACCTCTTCTCTAGCATTATCATACCTCTCTGTAGGTGATATTTGATATAACCCTTCCATCAGTTTTTCCACTGTATTTATCCTTCCTTTACATGAAATAGCCATTCTAGGGAGATGTTTCACATCGGTCTAAGCCACTATGGGGCATTTCCTTTCCACTTCATTCTCCAGTAGCATTTCCACCCCTTCTAAGATCAATGTAGCTGGATTTGTTCAGCCTAAGCCAGTCACTCCCCAAAATTAATTCCCCACACAAATCAGGTGCCACATACACCTTAAGTACACCTGTGGTCCTTGCTGGTTTGCATCGTAGCCATGTCATACTCTCTATTCTCATCTGACTACTATCTGCCAGGTTAATTAAGAAATCCACTAGCTGGAGTATTTTATGTAACCCCAGCTGTCTTAAACACCTTGGAATTTATTAAAGAGACCAAAGCTTCAGTATCCACTAAAGCCTTTACCGTCTTGTGCCCCACCATGGGGTATAATCTTTGGTTGTGGTGTCAATTGTAACTCCTTTCCTTTAATGCCCTCCAAGTATCTCTTGGGTTGAATCCTGGTCACAGCAACCAATTGTAACATTGTATCCTCACCCCACTGAACACACACACTCCACCAGATTGTCCGTTGGTTCGGTATAGTCCAGTATTACAGGTTACACACAAGTCTCTCGTTCCCAATGTCAATCCAAAGCCACCCTCCAGCCACGTTTTGATTTTTTTTTTGATCCTGGAGAGTGGGTTATCAGATTGTAGAAAACAGGAAGCTCCCTGTTGGTCCCCATGTGAGTTTTTTTGGTGAGAATCTGGTTAACAGAAAGAATAAATAAATAAAAGTCGATTTGATTTTGAAAGGACAAAAGTTTTTTTTATATATAAAAGCAAACACACACACAAAAAAATAATTCTTGTTGCACAAGGTTGAATGTTTCTTGTATGAGAACAATAACCAAACAAACAATACTTTGAATAATTTCAGTAAGGAGATATGTGGCCTTTGTTTTAACCCTTTTTGGTCTGTTCTTACTACCTTCGATGTTCCTGTACTCGGTAGACGTACTAGTAGTGGTAGTATTGATAGTAGCAGGAGTAGCGGTACCTAGATGTTAGCGGTGGTAATTCACGCTTCTCCTCTCTTTCAGCAGCACACTGCGGATGCTTTCTTTACAATCTCTGACGTCACTCAACCAGTTCGACTGCACTCGAAGACAGATGAACCTGAAACTCTCCTTTTCAATCTCTAACATCTCTCCACCCAGCTCGACTGCACTTGAAGACAGACAAACTAGAACTCTCCTTCTTCCGGTTGGCTCACCTCTTTATATAGAGAACTGGTGACATATCTGTTTCTCTAGTGCGAATGTACTGACATAATTTCAAAGTACAATTTCACTCTTTCAAGAGTAAACAGTTTACTTTGGTTTCCAAAGTCCACAACAAGACTCCATTGTTTATCACCTCGCTATCAACCACTCTGATGCTTTTTGTAAACTACAGATAGTCTTGATCCAAAAATAAATTCTAAATCAAAACATTCTTTATTTTAACTTCGATTCTGTCAAAATCTATTTCTTTTTCTAAAAGTTCCAATTATTATTGTCCCAGTAATTTCCTATTAGTAATCTGATATCCTTTGTACACTTTACAAAAAGATTGTATTTTGTGTTCTAAATTAACTTTCTGTGACATTTACATTTCAAAGTCTTTACAGCATTTTTAACATCTTGGTTCTTTTGAAAATACCTTTTTTATCTGTTTTACAACATATTCTGCTTTATTATCATTATTATTATTTCGGGGGTGATATCGCCCCTGCCACATTAATAGATCCTCTGTAGGGTGTTTGTAGAGAGTGTGCTCTAGTAGAGACATATACAAAAACATGAATATACAATTCAAACAATTTCGCCACATATGTCCTGCTTCTGCCAAGAAGGTTTGTGTGCAATGTTTGTTATTTTGGCTGTCAGTTGATCCACAAAAAAAGTAAGGCCATTTCTGTGGAGATGGAAAGAAGAATTGTCCAGCAACTTTGAGCATTGTGCTGTACACAGTGTCAGTAGATGAACATTGGGCATCTTCCTTCACTGCAGTACAAAATCCTAACAGGACTCAGGGTAAGTTTTCAAGCCCATTTCGATTGGTTCAGCATAATCCTCAAAGCTGAGTTTAAACTGTGATGGAATTGTTCTACCAGGCCATTCATTTGCACATAGTATTCAGTTGTCTGAATTTGTTTACTTTTGAAAAGTTTCAACAACTCATTAAATAAACTGGATTCAAACAGTCACCCTTTGGATTTTATTAAGAATCACTAAAAATATAGCAGGAGCATCAGACCATATGTGGCAGCAATATTCTAAGTAAGGACAAATGGTGTATTTATAGATATATCTGAGTTTTTATTTAATTTTTCTGGTGTCCTTTTTCTTGTAGAAAAACTTAGACCATCCTTTAATAGCACTACACGTGAACATGAT